TATATATATATATATTCGAAAGTAAAAAGTAAAAAGTTTCAAAATTTTGTTAAACAATGCACGTTTTTGCGTCTGATTTCTTGATTTAAAATATCATCTTTAATAAGTAACTGTACTATTTTCGAATCCTCGGAACATCAAGATCGCATCTCAGCATTTAAAAATCGGATAACTTAATCAAAAGCTGTTCGTTTTTTGTATTCAGCACTGTACAATTGTCCATAATATTCATTGTTTGTAGAATGCTTTCTGTTTTTTAGATGACGATTGATATTGATCTAGTTATGACATGTACTGTAGCAAAACTAAATGATGCCGAGGACCAACTGAATAAGAAAAACCAGCAAATCATTGATTTGCAACAACAGTTAGACATGAAAGAGAATGAATTGAATGAAATTCTACCCAAGTGAGCTTTGTATTTTTTTAAAAATTAGATTTGTATGAGCTAGAAATAATTAGCTTAATAATTAGAGAGAAACTGGTGTTTTATCTTAAGGATTAAAGGGGTGTACGTTAGAAAGTGCGTTTTTTGTGTCTAATTTTGTATTTGACAATATTATCCGAACTAATTTATAAGCATTTTCCCCCTTCCTTTTTATAAGCATTTTTATCCATGGAATTTCTTTTTTCTTCATTCCTATTTAAAAATTTATCAGTAATTGATTTTGTTTATTACTTTGTCTATAATTTTAATGATGAATAACTGTCTCTCTTAAATCTAAATAACTTCAAATTTGAAAAATTATTGTTTGAAAATGAGCTGTGTTTGAAAAATATGATTCTGCATCAAAGGGTATAATATGCTTCAACTATCAAGATTGTGTTTTTGGATACGACTATCTGATTATTAGTTTGTGTTCCTTTTTTTTTCTTCACTGTAGATTTTGAAAAATATGTTCATTCAAGGCGTATAAATTAATAGTAGTGGAGAAATAAAAACATTGTCGAAATATAACGAATCACTATTATAGCGTCTGGTGTAAACATTAAAGCCAGTTGGGTTTTCTTTTTTAAAGATATTGGAAATTTTTTTTAGTTAGTGTCATTCACTGCCCCTTAAATTTCTCCCGTAATCAAATTATTTTTATAACCTCAATTTTGAGTTTCTCATATTTTTTTACGGGATCCGAAATCTATTTTTAAATTGATTATCGATTAATTAATCATTTGCTTCGCACCAGGTATTCGCTTTGTATAAGTTCTGACTTAGTCTAATATGGAGCCAATAAAAAAAGCCAGTATAATATCTGTATTCCAAATTCTTTTTGTTTTTGTAAAAAATAAGATATGAAGGGGCTCATTTATTATGTATAAAACATTCATATTGGTCATTTATTGCACAAATCTCATTAAATTTAACTGTCTTTATTCCATGAACCTCCTCTTATTATTCTATATCATAAATAGTTATTCCAATAATTCCTAGATTATTCTTTTTAGAATGGAAGAATTCCGGTTTTAGCATCTTAGAAAAATACGCCATTCAACAATTTTCTCAGGCGTTCTAATTAAAATAATTAAAGTTCGCTATTTATTTTCAGGTTGGAAAAAGATAAATGTGAGAGAAAAAATCAGCAATTAGAAAAATTCAGTCCAGATGCAAGTTTAAAGAAACTTGAAGAAGATATTGTAATCCTTGAAAATAAAAATCTGGAGGTACGAATACTACTTCATTAAATGTTTTTTTTTTTTTTTAATATTTCCCTGCCTGATATTAATAATGGTATTAATAGTGATCAAATATTACGTTAGCACTTCCTACCCCTTCAATCTGATTTTAAATGTATGAAATGTGTCCATAAATTAGATTTTAATAAGTATCTTTATTTTTAGGCAACCAACGTTAAAAGAAATTTTCAGCAGCATCCAAACTGATTTTCATTAATTTAAACTACAATAAGACTATATTTTAAAAATTCTAAAAACTTAGAAACGTGCAGTTTTAAATTACTTTCTCAAAACCACAAATCGCACCATTTTAGTGCTTTATAGTTTAGGTTATAGGAAGTTTAGGTTATAGTTTAGGTTATAGTTATAGGAAATCATTGAATCATTCTCCTAAAATTATCAAGTGCTATTTCCCCGAATCTAATAAAGCGGTCCTATTAATGGCTAACTTTTTTAAGAGGTATTGTACAATCCAATAATACTGTATTATCAAAAGTAAGAGCAAATAAATAGCAAGAAAACACAAATTAAGAATTTAAACTAGAATTTAAAATTGTGAGGGTAGAGCTCTCTTAATATAAGGGTTAGGAATTCGCTTATTTTTGCTTCCAAAGAGTACTTAGTACTAAAATTCTCTAATTTTCAATTCTTTTAAATGCAAAAAAATATTTAAGAAAAAAAATTGACGTTTCATATTTGAAATTGCAGTTAATTTGGGGTATAAATGAGTTGAGAAAGAAGCTTCTTCAATGAAGTTCAAATTTTTGTAGAATTAATTAAAACATACATTTTTCGTTTTAATACAAAGCTACATATTTTATACGAATTTAATACGAAAATTTTTGAAACAAGATTACTTAAGTGAAAGTGCAAAAATCAGAGAGAGGGCAACGGCTCTCTCACGGAAGCACGGAAGAGATTTGTAATTTGCTTAACATGCTTACGTAATATACGTTGCTTACGTTGTTTACGTTGTTTATAATTTTCATAAACACGCTTACGTAATATTCGAACGGCAATGTGATAAATAATTTTCTGATGGCGTAGTTAACTTCTGTAGGTAGCAAGCGAGAAAAAGATTTTAAAAGAAAGGTTGGATGAAGTTTCACAGTCATTAAACGAGGAAAAGAAGATAGCTAAGCAATTAAGTGAAGTAAACGAAATGCAAAAGGTCAAAATACTTGAGTTGGAAAAACTTCTTTTAATCGAGTGTCAAATAAGCTAGAAGAAATTATTTTCATAATTTTTTTGTTCGTTTCCAAATGAATCCTAGTTAATAGAAATCAGTTTAACAAATAATTTATAAAGCTAAATTTTGTTTGGAGAAGAAACTGTTCATCACTTTACGTGATTTTGTGTATGTGCAGCAGCTTTTCCATACCTGCCCAGTCTCCTGTTTTTTACGACTATCTCCTATTTACCTGTATATACTAAAATTTCTCCGTATTTTTTGAAGAACTTAAAAATAAAAAAATTAGCGATAAAATATCTGTTGATGGCAAAAATACTTCTCTTATTCCTCAACAGGTTCACACTCCACACGATTGCCAGTACTGAGTGTGCTGAGTGTTTATAGTTTAAATAATTATAAATAATGGTTTAAAAGAGTCTTCTTTACATTAAGATTTATATACAAATTTTTTACTTCGCTAAATGCGAGTGTTCACATTATTTCCAATTTTGAATTTCTCTTTTTGACTTACATAATTATGCATGATGTATCTAAACTTTACTCGAAGCCTAAATAATGTCGCTAGTAAAATCTGCGGTATTTTTCGTTTTTACTTCTAATAATTTACGTTTTTTTCTTCTAACTTTTAACTTTCGTTGGTTTTGTTTAACTTGCTTTATCTTTAGCCTTCAAACCACCACTAGTTTTGTTTCTTCGTCTTTTTTTTCATTTCTTCTTTTTATGTTCTGGAACTTTGTAAATAACATTCTTTTAAAGATTTAAATAGATTTGAATTTGATGGTGTGTCTGCCCTAAGGCAATATGTGCCCTTGGGGAATCCAGTAACACACATTTTTTTCTAATAAGGCATAAATTTTTATACTTTCAAAAATTGAGAACTGGCTTTCATATTTCTTAAAATAAAATGAGTTAAATCAAATATGCAAGAGAAATATCCCGTCTAATTCATTGACTTATAATTTGCAGGTCAATGAAGAAATTGAAAGTATACAGTATATCACAGAAACTGCAATGATATCTGTCCAGGAACAGCTGGATGTAAAAAACAATCAAGTTGACAGGCAACAGAAACAGCTGGAAGCTTGCAAAAGCAAACTCCGTCAATTGCATTCCAAGTGAGTCTATTTATAATATAATCAAATCAAAAACAAAATTACTTTACGAACCTTGACTGGGTTCCTGAAAATGCTTCTGCAGTTCCTTTCGGATCCCTTCGCTTGCTTATTAGATACAAAGTTATTTTAGCCTAACTTTGTAGGAAGGTTCGTTCAGTTTTTGAAATGAAGCTCAAAGAATATATAGTAAATACTTTCCGTGAAATCTTTGACTATATAAATTTCGGTTGCTTTGTAATTACATTTGGTACAGACAAATCGATTTTCCTATGAAAACATTTCTAAATTTCAGTGTTTGAAGACAGATTAGTTTTGAGCTCATTGAATTTGAAAAATGCGTAAAAAACAGTGAAAAAGGTTGTTTAGAAAAATGTTTTCTGATCGATCTTTGTTAATTCTGTTCACCTGCAGTTTCGTTAGAATTCCTTTGCGTCAATTGGATGCCTGCAAGAGACGGCATCGTAGGTAAATCGTGGTGTCTGCCGATTTAGAAGACCATCAGGTTCGACTCAAACTTGCGACGTTGCTTTTAGGTATTAAATTAAATCTGATTTAAAGCACATGGCTACGCACAAACACTTCACTTCTTCTCAAGCCGCAAGTACCCAATTATTATTTAACCTGTTTGAATTATTAAATATAATTAAAACGAAAGTAAATATCAGCTTGTCCAGCAGTAAAAATCAGCAAAGGTAAAATAAGCTACAGCCTCATATCTTTTGTCAGATTCACATAATTATAACAAACAAACCACTGTATTTTGTACAATGTTTAAAAAGGCTGTATCTAATCAGAAAATTAAACAACTTTGCTACAAATTTTATTCTTTTTCTTTATTTATACGAGTGCCACGCATTTGGCTGTGAAGCTATTGCTAAAGTTGCTTTCCAATATTTAAATAGATGGATTTAATTTTAAGCACAATGCATCTCTTATGACATGTTTGACTCGTCAGTGATTTAATACAGAAAAATCTTAAGTTGAAAACGGATAATAAAGGTGAAGAAAAACAAGGGAAACCGCATTAGCAGTGTTCTGGCATGCACATGCATATATATGTACACTGGCGGACAAAATTAAGAGATGGAAGACATTTTCCTAAATATCCCAAAAAATACTGAATATAAATAAATGAAATTTGGTATGGATATAGCTTATTCCATGATAATAAAGTATGCAAAACAAAAATGAAAGTTACATTCACTGGCAAGATCTATTGCCAATAAATCCAATGTAGTCTGAACAACTTAAGAATAAAAGATGACAGTAAAAGTCAGGCTTGTACTGTGTGTGTTGCCTCTAGTATGGTGTATGGTCACCCCTGACAGACAGACAGCATGCACAACGAGTATGCATGCTGTTAATAAGGGAGTTAAGGAGGACTTGTGGAAGACCCTCCCATTCTTCCACCAGAGAAATTTCTAACTCCAGAATGGTTCTGGGGGGGAGAGGTTGGCGCATCGCAATAGCTCTCCCAGGAGTATCCAAAGCATGTTCAATAGGATTCAGGTCAGGGGATTTGACTGGCCAATCCATTCGTTGAATATCCTCGCTTTCCAGATACTCATCAACCATGAGAGCCCTATGTGGTCGCGCATTGTCGTCCATAAAAATGAACTCAGCGCCAACAGCGCCACTGAAAAGACGCACATTGGGCTCTAGGACCTCCTGCCTGTACCTCTGGGCATTCACAGAACCATTGTCAAACACATGGAGCGATGTACGGGTATCTTGCATGATCCCTGCCCAAACCATTAGGTCTTCACCAGCATAATTGTCCCTTTCGATAAAGTTGCAGGGATGGTATCGGGTTACAGGTTCCCTCCATATCAATAACCATCCAGAATCAGGTTGTAGACTGAATCTGGACTCATTGGTGAAGAGAACATTAGCCCATTGAAGCTGCGTTCAATTCTGATGTTGTCTTAATTTTGTCCAGCAGTATATTGAAAATTCTTGTTAAGTTGTTACAATTAAGTTGTTAAGACAATTGTTAAGTAGTTAAAACAATTATTCTTTTTTTTCAGCTTGGAAGAAGAAAAAAGTTCCAGGAAGAAGTTTCAGTCAGAAAATGTTAAGTTAGATTCAGAATTGAAAGAACTCCAAAGAAATCTTGCTATTCTTGAAAAGAAGCATCAAAAAGTAAGATTTTATTTACAATTTTGAAACGAAATACTTTTTTTTTTTTTGCAAAATCCAGTATATTCTTAAGTACAGGGTGAACCAGTCAAACTTGCATTTTTGAAATGACTGTAAAAAATAAACGGATGGATATTTCAGCATTTTATTGTTACTATATCTTAATCTACATTAAAAAGCATTTAAACAACATTCACTGTCTAAAAATAACGCCACTAAGATATTGCCGATCTCCGAGGGCTTCCGTCCACAGCAACTCTCACGCCGTCAATATTCGCTGGAGTGCGCACTGATCTTGCACTGCCAGCCCTTCTGCTTCTCGTTTCACCAATTGCTTCAAAGTTTTTCACCCACAATTTGATTGAATTAGCAGACGGCACTGGCCTATTTCGATTAATTTGAAAGTTTGTCCTGAAACGACGCTGAGCGGCTGCATAACTACAACTTTGGTAAAGCGCTTTCACAGTGAATGAACGTTGTTGTTTAGACCACTGCTCCATGGCGACTGAAATGCTTAGTTCTGGGGGACACAATGGTAACTTCGGTAACTCGCTTCACCCTCTTTCACGGCTCTCCCACCATTTTCAAAAATGCAGGTTTGACTGGCTCACCCTGTACTTCTCCACTCTTCGAAGAACACCTCCCATCTAAAAGGTTGAGATTTCCTTCTGCTATTGAAAAAAAAAAGTGAACCATCCATAATGGGGGAGAGTTAAACAAAATATACAACTCTTCCAACTTAAATCAATTGAAAACAGTTAAACCCACTCCCCATTCATAATTACCAGTATACCAGTCTAGTTCCGGGAGCAGTTCTCGTGATAGTCGGATAGTATAGGATAACAGCTTAATATATTTACTGATACAAAGCATGCATGTGAAACTTGATGAAGATAAAAACAATATTGTCTGACACAGCGTGTAAAATATCTTGTACATTCGTTAACTTGTACAGTGGGACAAAAAAATGGACCACCCTAAATAACTTTTGATCTAAAGATCGGATTCCCACGTTCTAGGATTCAACCAGGCCTCGAATAGATCTCAAATATGCTAATTTATCAGTGCTGACGATATTTTAAGTTACGAAATCAGAGGCACAAGCGTATTTTTTTAAATAAACATTCCTTTTTTGAAACGGATTCGGATTTCAGACCCCCTAGCTATAGGGGGTAGTAGCAATCTGATAAATATGATTTTCATAGTTTTGTCAGGAGAACAATCCAAAGTTTCTGCCCTTTAATGCTAATTTTACTTTTTGCGTATTTCGTCACATTTAAAGAACTCGAATATTCAACCGATTTCGCTCAAACTTTGCGTACTATCTTTTGAAATTACGTATTAAATTTCATACCTTACTATTCAAAATTTCTCGACTATTATTAAATAAAATAATAAAAAATAATAGGTTGGTAAGCGAGCGTTCTATTCCCTGAGCCGTCATGACTCTTGCTATCATATTGTAAAAAGTAACGCACATCCGGTTGCTTACAAACAACAACAGCCGGTTGTTGACAAAAGGTCAGGGACCGATCAAGAGAAATTCAGGCCCAAGGACCACCAAATTCTCCGGGCCCCATACAAAATATTTTGATATTATAAACATTCTAAGAAATTTTGAAATTAGACCATTGAAGATTATTTTTTTAAGATGAAGTTTACGCATCTATAAGTTAAAGCCAAATATAAAACAACAAAACTATGTTATGTCAAAATAGTTTAGTTACCACAAACAATTGAAATCAGTGATTTTTGCTAAAAGACACTGATTAGTTGAATTATTATTTTTTATTGTAAGCTGTAATTATTTTTTATTTAGTACAAGGCTATTCCACCCTTTATTAAACTTTTTACTAATTTATAAGGCCACTCAGAAATTGTGGGCCCTACCCCCATGCATATTGGGTTTAGGCGATAATCAGGCCCTGCGAAGGATGTCACAGAGACTCTTTAATTTCGAGACCAATGTCATGTAGGTGATAATGAAATCAGCGGAACGCATTGGTTACTTTTTCTACTGAGATTAGCTCGTACTAATTGAGTCAAGATGGGCTTCACACAGCGTTTAGTCGTAGCATCCATCGATGTCAGAGTAGCAGCTTACTACCTGAACCACGGAACTATCGTTGCTTATTTATAGGGATAGGATGCAGATGATCGATTAATTCTTAAAAATGACCTGCCTTAAATGAGAAAAAAAATCGAATCTTTAGAAAAAAAAGAACCTTAAAGTGAAAATGGAACTCTTAAAAATGATCGCAAACATGTTTTTTATGAAATAATTCTAAGAACTGAAGCCGTAATATATTACTCGATTAAAAACTTATACTAATTTATAAATTTAAAGAAAATCACAAGAAAAATTTTCTTTAAATCAAAAATATTATCAATCTTTTGACATAGAATTTTAATTCATCGTATTTTTGACACGTTTTTCACTATTTTACATTAATACAACAATTTTATTTCATTTCATAACCGTCGTTGAACACCAGGCGTTGAACCAGAACCGTATTCTGGGTTTACGGCTACCAGTGTCCAACACCGTATCCTTACATTTTTGATACCAATCAAGAAGACAATGGATTTCCTGGATCAGTATCCCCAGAAGTATTGATTTGTTATGAGAACATGGAGGACTTTGTGATCGGTCAGATTTAACGTACATCAGTCACCATTTACTTCACGGGGAGTCATTCAGCCAGAGGGGATGGAACCCATGATATCTTCGACATGTCCCCAGTGCCCTACTATCCGGGCTATTCCGGTCCTTAGGTTACAATAATTGAAAAGAATACAATATTTAGCCTTTTCAATAATTTATGGTTTTGAAATGTCACTTTTTGCCTTAAAGGTAAAATCTTCCAAACCTGATTGACTTCCAGGCGGTATTTTTTTCAAATTTGCAGTTAGTATTTAGATTTAAGGGAAGCAGTTGTTTATCATTTAATTAATTAATTTTTTTTATTCACAAAATCAATTACTGATAAATTTTTAAATGTGAATAAACAGAAATGTTTCTCAGACTACTATTTTAGGATTTTATATTTTGGTGCAAATATAATTACGATGATTTAACAGAATTTTTTGTGTAATTATTAGACTGTTTCTTTATTTTTTATAAATAAATAATACCAAAAAATATTTTGAAATTAGAACTTCAGAAAAAAAAATAAAAGAGACTTCGATTACTTATCTGCACCAAAGAGTTTAAAATTCGTAAAAAAAAAAAAAGCGATTAAAAAAGAGGGGAAATCTAAAAATTGAAATGGCCAAAAAGAAACAGGAATAACGAGCTTTTTAAAGGAAAACGCAACCAAGATGCAAATATATCAACATCATAGTTTTGTTTTTTGCTTTACTATCATTAGACTACATCATTGGTTCGAATTTCTTTGAATATTGCACGTTTAAAACAGAAAAGTGAAGTTAATATTCAATCATTTTCAAATTTTAATGGAATATTGTTATCATTAATAGACTTTAGTGCGTTTTGTTGTATGTTACTTATTTAAGCGGGAATTTTTCTAATATCTGTAAAATTAAATAATCTGTTTTTTAAGTATTTTTCTCTTTCTGAACATCCAGCGCCTTCTTAATTATTTAAAACTATTATTTCACTTAAACCTAATCATTGTTTGAATCTTTAGAACAAAAATTTTAATTCACTATATTCAAATAAAAACATATTTTTATTGTTATTAATTTTGGTTGTTACTTGATTTATTACTTCATTAAGTCGCAATTATTTTATCAAATGCTACTTAATACATTATTTCATTTTTGTATTACTTTTATGATTATTATTATTATTTTTTTAGAGTCCTGAACTTGAAACTTCAAAACCAGAGCTAGCAGCAATGCGGAAACACTTGAAAGCATATTTAAATGAGACATATTTCAAAAATTGAAACAGTGAATTGAATTGAATTGTATAGATGAAAGCGTAATCAGTTAGAACTGAGAGAAAATAAAGCAATTAGCAATTTTTTACTTTAATATTAAGGAATAATTTTCTCATTTTGTAATTATTTGTAATTACTTCAGTGAATTTATTTATCTTATTTATCAGTAAACCATAAAGATTAAAGCATCATTAAGATTAAGATTGAAGATTAAAGCAATTTATTTCTTATTTCCGGAAGCATGTTTATTTCCCAATCTATACACCAGATGGCAGTGCCAGACTATTTGTCATACGTTTAGAGATAGTGCATTTTAATACGGGATATCATGTGTACATTAAAATACATATCAGCACTCAACAAATATGCAAGCTGAAAATTTACCCAGATATTAAAAATGGGTACATATATTGTATATGCACTTAGTTATATTGTATATGCACTTAGTTATAAAATTAATGTTTTTTGATACATTAGTTTTTAAAATTCTTGGTTTATTAATCTAATTAGAAAAGTGTATAAAGTCTTTTTTCGAGGTGTAAACTCTGCAAAAAAACAAAATATCTACAAGATGTGTAAATAAAAACGTAAGTATTTATTGAAATAATGACAGCATCTTAAATTTTAGGACTTATACCTTTTGGCAGCTGAAAATTATGACTAATAGAAAATAAACTGTTGGATTATTTCAAAAATTGTTTTTAACTTCAAAACTAGAGTGGCACTTTTCTTTATTTTAGAAAATGAAAATAAAATAAATAAATAAAAAATAAAAATACCACATTTTAAAAAAATACTGCGAAAAATACCATACCCCTTTTTTTTGGTGAAAAAATACTACCGTAGTATTAAAAATATTACGTCTGGAAACCCTGAATGAATTTCTTGTTTTTCAGTGTTACCAACAAATATCGAAAGAAGAAGAAGAATTTAATTTTTATTTCAAAGTTTATGTAAAAAAATATTGATAAAAGGTGGACTTATTCACAATGGCTTCTGAAATTATTGTACAATATATTCAGAAGCTATTAAAAAAAGGGCTGTCTAACCTAGAAAAAAGTAACCAACGAGTAAATCCTTTAATAACTTAGAAGATTATTATTTATTTCATCAAAATTTCCAAAAATCAGAAAATTTCAAAAAATGGACTTAACCGCATTGGCTTCTGAGCGGCTCATATATAATTTTCTTGAATAAAAAATGGACACTTTTATGACGGCGGCAAAGGATTGCGACTGTCTGGCTGTCGAATGCTACTCAAGCTTTTCAATTCATTTCCGCGGTTTTTCATAGGCTGCATCGATTGAGGCAATATATTGTACGACCTTTAATTAGTCTATAATTTTTTGACTTGGTAGCGTATATAATTACATAATATTATTGACCAAGTTTCAAGGCTATCGTTTAATACTGAGGAGAAATACGGGATATTATATATATATTAATATTACCATTTACTATTTTATTTATTACTTATTTTTAATTTTACAACAGAGTTTACTCATCAAGGGAACGAAAATTATAGGCCTTGATGTGTATCACTCTATATATACATCAGGGCCTATAATTTTCTTTTACATTCACCTAGAAATTTTGAGCATTGCCCCATATATTTTTTTAAACATAAGTTACAGGTGTTCAAGCCTCAAAACAAATGGACGAATCAGTTCGGGCAGAAGAAGGCCTAAATGTAATGTCAATATTCCCTTAATAAAGAAGAATTTAGCATGTTCGAAATATGCGTAATGGCCTATATCTCCTATTTGCCGTTTTATTCACATACAAAACGACAGACAAACCCGGAATTCGAACTCGCTTTCCAGGAATTAACTGTTTAGCTCTTTATGCCGTACCAGGGTACCATGGTCATCTGCTGGTTGCTTACCATTAATCAAGATTCGAAGTCATTTTCGCAGATCTGTATAGGGTGCACAATGGAACCACATTATGTCACGTTATGCAGTTTTAATTCTGTTGGATAAAATGATCTCTGAAGCTATAAATTTACAACCAGGAAGTGTAGTTTTTTGGGAACTGAAACTTTTAAGTCATGTGAATCTCATCGCATGTTTTTCAAGGTCTAAATATTAATTCAATACTAATGTTATATTTTTATGTTTTATTACTTTTTGATTTTCAGTTCTCACTTTCTCTTTGTGTATCGTCAACTGAGGGAGAATTCTTTTCCTTCCTCACTGCTTGTAAAAATGTTTTGTCACAATGCATCATTAAATTTCTAAATCGCTTAAAAGGATGATTCTTCAATGATGCTAGTTTGACTCATTCACAAATTAATCAATTTCAAAGAACTTATTTTCAGCCATTCATCGAACTCATCGCCTTTACAAGGTAAGATTTACTACCTTTTTCCTATCAAATTCGTCTATAATTTTGAGGCTTGGTGTAGTTATTTAGTACGTTACTACAATAATCTGACCAGTTTCGCAATTATAGTTTATTATGAAGAGAATATATATTACATTATGCATATTTAGAGTGTGTTATATATTCTTCTAATAAAAAAGTAATATTGGCACTACAATTAAACCACCTTGTACTCTAAATAATTCGTCTACAATTTTTCTGCTTGTTCTCGTGTTTACTTATACTGAGTTAATAAATGAAACAAATCTTGAAAATTATAGGTTCATATAGGTTGTTGATAAATTTTGATAATTATAGGTTCATTATAGGCAAAACATAGACCTTTATGTATATGCAGAGAACACAAGAAATCCTCAGAAATTTTTCATTGTATCTCAGCATTTTTTTTTATTAAAGAAAATAATAAGAGTGATAATTTAAAATATTTTGTTTAAATTATTATACTATAAAAAAAGTATTTTTAATTCTTCAATGAAAAGAAAACCTTTTTGCTAATAAATAGCCTTTTTATTTACATACGATACGAAAATGCACTTCAGGATTATCAGTTTGGTGCTTTCCAACATTATCACGGTACCATGGCAGAGCCATCGGGCTTTCAAACGAGAATCAAGATTTTATTTCATTTTCGAGGCTTAGCATAAAGCTCACAGAGGAATCATATCATACCTCATTATGCGAACCTTAATTCGTCTATAATATTGAGACTTGGCGTGGTAATTTAAGAAGTTGAAACAGTATATAACACAGTTTAAAAATTATAGGTTTAAGATCAAGAGAAATACAAGTCATTCTGTATATTTATAACATGGACTACATTCTTCTACTATAAAGGGAACATTCACTTTAACTTACTATCAAAAACAGTTGTTAACTAAGTACACATAAAATAAAAGTATGTTATCTAATTCAAAATATTGCTAAGTGTTACTCACTTTATCTTAATCTCAGATTCTTCTTGATAAAGTAGATATTCTTAACTAAAAGAATCTAGCAATCATTAAAAAAACACAACAAAAACGATATATTTATTTTTCATGGAGCATCGACTAAGTTGCCATTCTCTCAAAAGTAAGTAGTGATAAGAATATTACAATCTCTTCAGATCACTTCAATTGATAAATTAAAAATGTAATATTCACATTACAATTAGAGCCCCTTGTACCCAAAAAATTCGTCGCTAATTTTGCGGTTTGGCCTCATGGTTTGTAATATCAAAATGATAAATTGGGTAAACAATTTTAATTTTAAGAAAAAATTAAAATTAATTAATTTTAATTTGTATACAATTTACCGAATTAATTTAATTAAAATTAATAAATTTAAATATATCGTCTGATAATTTCACCCTTTTTGTAAATCGCTTTTATTTCGATCAATGATTTCGTTTCATTGGATTACTTAAAACATCTGTGTAACATCTCCTAGTATCTCTTGTAGTACAAAGTATCTCAAAGTAAAGTTCAAAATATCGCTTGTTTATAATCAAAATTATAAAGATGGGTTGAGAGAACGTAACTAACAAAAAGAAAAATTAAATAGAATTGGGTACTTGCTCTTCAAGAAGAAGAAGATTACAATACCCACACAGGTGACCTATGACGTCCGTGTCAACTTTTATAAGCAAAATAGCGTGTTAAAGTGAGCTAAGTTTTTCCACGCAAGTTAGAATGTTAATTAACGTGAAGTTAATTAAATACAGCGCCGTATCGCGCATTGAATTTGTTGAAATATAATTCGTTCTTAAAGCCTGGAAACGTCGGCGTCAGCTTGAAACGAACGTTTACCTCTGATTGGTTAATTTATGAGTTTGACAGCATACGTCATCGAACGCTCAGCTTGAACGACAACTGCCGCCCAAATCAACTGCAGTTGGATTACAACGTGACGTTAACAACAGAAGCAATGGCGGACAACGGCCAACAACAGAGCATTGAAATCAGCCAAGATTTTAATTTTAACATTAAACATAGCTTCTTTTGAAGTGATACTTCTTATGCGACTTCCAACAAGGTTGCGTTAAACGTGTAACGCTACATTTTTATTGGCCGGGAAATCACGTGGTAGGATCCAGTTTTCTCTCAGTCATTTCCATATTGTTTTGGTTCTCACTAGTAAAAAAGTATATCCACTGTAGGTTCACAAGCTCTGGCAGACGTTACAGGTGAAGAAATTGATTATTGTAAGCGGCCTGTGATCCTTGCAGGAGATTTTAATGTGAATTTCTCGTTACCTGAAGCTGAAACCTTATTAACCTTCCTTAAAGACAAATTTGGATTGGAAATAATAAATGGTAGGAATGATCCAACAACCAAAGGGGTAACTACCATTAATGCAGCTTTTGCAAGAAATATTGAAAAAATAGAACTCAAACATTTCGTATCTTACTTTAGTTATCATAATCCCATTGTAAATGTTATAGATTTGGATATTTCTCCACACGAAAATGATAATTAAAAGATGCGATCAATTGTGAATTGTAAGCATTGTTAATACAGTGTGACATTAGACAGCATTAGACAATTCTTTTTAAAGTACAATTAACCTGATTCAGTAATATAATGAGTATTGTAACATGATGTAATGCAGTAAAATGTACCCTAATCATCAAATGTAAATAAGTTGTTTTCATTAAATATAATATATTTTTCAATTAAATACAGAAATTCAGAAACTGCTTCGTTTTCATTTATTTAAATATTCCTTAAATTTTAAGTTTTCGATAATTCTAGTTTTCGAAAGTTCGTGGTATTCTCGAATCCATCCACCTCAAATTA